ATAATTTCACCAATTCGCAATGTCATGTTATTGATCTGAATGCAACGGTTTCCTTAAATCAACATTAGAGTCAAACTTTAATTTCTCACCAGAGAGATGCTATCCGTCCCTTTAATGTTTTTCATGCAACTAAGGACAAGAATATACAATTCTTGTTCTGTTCTTGCAGTTCTTCTTCTTTCTTTTTAGGTTTCCTTTCCCAGTGGATTCAGACTGGGCTCTTTTGATCTTAAAGACCAGGTTAGGAGGCAAGGATGCGGAATCCGACTACCCTTCGTTACTTCAAAAATATTCAAGCAATGATAATTATACTTAGAGGGTATAAATAACGTCCAAAAATGTTTCCTCTTGGGTAAGCAACACAGGATGATGACTTTATATCACATAGTGATTGCGTCATGTTTCCCAAACAGTCGCCATCGGATCCACGATCTTCGATTTCTTAATCGACGATCGAAATCAATCAAAATAATCCTGAAAGTGTCCTGGAAATGTTAAAATAACTATGCAATAGTTAATAGTGCTTTTTTTTTTCCAAAAAAAAAAAATTAAAAGCAAGAAAGATTCAAAACATAGTTGCCATCGAAACACCAAGATCCAGCGAGTGCAATGATATGTCATACTAACTTGTTCTTAGACAAATTTAAGTTTAAGTCACAAAGACTTCTGCATGAAAAATGTCATGCAAGTTTTGAACAGGGACACTACAAAAAAAGGTTGAAATTCAAAACATACCCGCACAATGCAACAGTTTCTCACACCCCGTCGGTACATGGTCATTAAAGCAAGTTCAATGCTATACGTCTGTTATACTTTCCTTGTTATTTTCGTTAATCAAATTTTAATGCCTGTAATTCGTATCTCCTGTAATTAATATACGCGTTTCTCGATGATGAGGCACCCTTATATTATAGTACCTTCCCTCATATTGCTGGACATTCTTTAATCTTTAATTTCAAGAATTCACTCACCTTGCATTGTAAAAGTATTTGCAGTGTCAAACCCTATCACAGTCATCCACGCAAATGCAGCGAGTATAAAGAAATGGAGAAAAATAGCCACTGCTTTGCAAAGAGCGACGACTTCTGTCGACTTTTCAGCACAAAGAAAAATTGTTTGATAGCTCAGCAACGACAAGGAGAGATTCATGAGACATTTCCCAGGTAAATTTCTAAGTTCTTTGAAAGACAAGTAAACACTGAGCAGAAGACACAGGGAGATAATTGACAAGAGTGTACCAACGAAGGTGACATGAATAAGAATTGTCAAGCCATACCCCGGATCCTTACCGGCTTGTCCAGTAGGATTTTCTGGGCACAAAATATAAACAGCATTTCCTTTCAGCGCCATGACATTTTTGTCCATTCGGATCTCCGCTAGCTTCACATCTGACAGGTGGCTGTTGTTCAAGGAAGATCGATTTTGTATTGACTGGTTAGTTTCTGAAGTGAAAACTTTGCATCTTTGATCTCCAAAGGTGACCGTACAATTGTTGATAGATGAAGTACAGTTTGCTATTTGTGGCGTCAGATCTGGTGAAACGGGTCCAGAAGTGAGCGCGGATTGAGGATTCGTTGGTTCTTCTGGGTTTACGATGTTTGAGCTTACATCCAAAAGGATTGACAAAGGTGAACCGAACACAACAAAGGGAAATTGTCGAAAATTTACCCCAGAATTGCAAAGAGCACAATGAGGGTTTCTGTATTTAACTATAGTAAGTCCGACGTTCACTGAAAAGACCATAGAATATGAATAGCACAATTCTTTGATTACGGACATCACTGGCAGCTGATTCGAAGCACATTTGGTATCTTGCAGCACACAAGATTTGTGTTGACTCTTAAGATGTTGCCCTGGTGCATATTTCCACCAACATCTCTTATGCTCGATCAGAAACCTCTTCAAAGCCGTGATGTCAACGAAAGTAGGAAATGACCCAATTGCCTTTGGGCAGGAAACTTCGAGGCCCCAGATTGACAAGTTTCCTGCTTTGTTACATCTGGCGCAAACAATGCTCCTGTATGTTACATTCTGCGTCCAGTCAAAGACGGGCAGCTCCTTCTGCGGCGTTATATTTAAGCGATGAACAATTTGACAGTTGCTTGTAGTATAACGATTGTGTAAACTGCAAGAAGATTTCATGATAACCCCAGATGGCCACGAAGGGTTATTGATGTCTCCACATGTCATACTTTCGAGTGATGTGTCATCAAGATCATTTTCAATGTGGCCACAGCTGTGAAATCATACCAATCAAACTTATTAGACAGTCAAAACAAAAACTCTCTCCCTTGAAGTATCTTCGAATCTTCTGTTTGCTTCCAGCATTGTCATATATTTATTCTGGTAGAAATCAAAATACTGATCAAAGATCCTCTTTATCGACCTGTGACCAGCAAATATAACATAAAACCTGGACATAAAGACCTAGAATGAGTGAATTTAGTGTAATCTTACCGCGTCTGAAAATCCAAACAGCAGTCACTCAGTAGTTTGCAAGGCTTGTCACAGAAGCAGGTCTTATTATCATGTCTTCTTTCGTTCAAAAAACATCTGCCTTGACACGACTGCACAGAAGAATTCTTTAGTTGAAGCACTGCAGCAAGAACGTTCTCCTCTTGTGGCAATGTGATGTTGTGCTGATGGAGCAACTGAGAAAGGTTTTTCCAACTAAGCATTTCACCCCTCCACTTGACAACAAAATCTTGGTCCCTCGACCCTAAATGAAAGAAAAAACTCAGGTTATCATTTATAACTTTGATGTTCCAGTGATCTGAAAGGGAAACGAAATGCACCAAGCTAAAATAGTGTTCCAAAGCAGTAAAAATCATCTGATGACAACAAACGAAAATACTAGTAATCATTATGTACCTACCAATGAGTACAGGCAGTTGGCCAGAGTCGTATTTCTTCCTTAAAGATTTAGCTTCTTTGCCATGCGTTTGTTTTTGAGATCTTGATGGTGCTGATAGACTTAAAACTGTAACAACCATGAAGCATGTTGCTAACAGATTGAAGTGTTCTACTTTCATTTTGGTTTACTTTTTATTTTATTATTTTGTGGGAAATCCGGGCAACTTGATTGCAACTGAAACTTATAATCACGAGAAAGATTTCATCCACTTTCATGAAATAGCTCTACGGGCAGGTGCTATATGGTCGTCGTTCGCAGTTTACCTAAAATGATTTACTTTGTGAAAATAACACTTTGAAAGACGAAGTTTCTATCTGGAATTTCCATTTTCGATTTGTAAATATAAAGTACTGATGTTTGACGGAAACCAAGGACATCAGGCTATGCACCTGTATTAAAATGATTCGCTTTGTAGCAAAAGCAATTATTTTCGTTTCCAATTTCCAATCATGTTTGATATGTATATTTTAGCCTATATGACTGAAACAAAAGAAATTAATCTTGAGTGTTTTACGTTTGACTTAAAAATTTTGCACTTAAATTTAATAATGCTAATTCTTGGTTTTAGACATTGCTTTTTTTATTTCATCATAGTCTCTCAGACCTTTGGTAAGTCTGAGAGATGTCGGTTTGGCAAAATAGATCCATTGATCCTTGCAGTGTTTATTTGTTTTATAATTATGAAGCAAACATCAGATATGCACCTATGGCACTTTCAAATGCCAACAACTATAATCAAAATACTGCTGCAAAAAGTAAAAGGATATAAAGCCTGTGAAGATATTAAGCTAAGTAAACACAGTCGGCTCGTGAAAATCTAACCACTATATTTCCAATACCACACGAGAAAACAGTCTATTTTGTACCTGAACTGTAAAAATGTTTAATTTTAAGTTGGTTATTAGTTTCCTTCAATTCAATTTCGTGATGTC